CCCCCTTCTTCCCCTTCCCCCCTTCCTCCTCCTTGCGCTCCTCCGCCTCCTGCGCCCCTGCCTCCGCCGCGTCGCCGTCCGCCTCCGCCATGAGCGCGTCGAGCTGCGCGGAGGTCATTTTCTTCTTGCCCTTCTTCGCCTTCTTCTTGCCGCTGAACGCCATAGCCATCTCATCCTCCTCCTCCTTCTCCTCCTTCTCCTCCTCGTCCTCTTCGCCCCCCTCGTCGCCCAGCGCCGCCAGCAGCTGCAGAGCGGAACTCGCCTTCTTACTCGACACCACCACCTCCTCCTCTTCCTCCTCCTCCTCCGCTACTTCTTCCTTCGCCTCTTCCTCTTCGTCCTCCTCCTCCTGCTGCTGCTTCCGGCCCTTCTTGTCCTTCTTCTTGTTCTTCTTCTTACCCGTGAACGCCATAGCCATCGAATCCTCCTCCGCCTCCTCCTCGTCGTCGCGCGCAACGTTCGTCACCACCGACTCCTCTTCCTCCTCCTCCTCCTCCGCCTTCTTCCCCTTACCCCCCTTCCCCTTCTTCCCCTTCTTCTTCCCCGTGAACGCCATTGCCACATCTTCCGCCTCCTCCGCCACGTCACCAACACCTACATTGGGATCTTCCAGCGGCGCCTTGTCCCCGACGCTGAACGCGCTTGCGTCCAGCTCGATCACCTCGCTGGCGGCATCCGCCCATCCCATTTCGGCGCGCGAGCAGATCATCCCGAGGCTCTCCTCGCCCTTGATGCTCGCCTTCTTCACCGCCGCGCCCGTCGACGGCACGGCGCACCCTGCGGGGCAGACGATCACGCGCAGCCCCGCGCGCACGTTGGTCCCGCCGCACACGATCGGAATGGGCGACGCGCCGCCGATGTCGACGAGGCACGCCTTGAGCTTGTCGGCCTTCTTCACCTTGCGCGCCGATTTGATCTCCCCCACCACCAGATACCCCGGGCCCACTGTCCCATCGCTGTCACCCTCCTCGGGTTTAGCGGCGGCGGGCTTGCCGTTCTCCTCCGCCGCTGCGTCCGCAACGGGGTCGGCGAAATCGTCGTCGAAGTCGTCGCGACGATTCTTGCCTTTCTTGCCCTTCTTGCCCCCCTTCTTCCCTCCTCCGCCCCCGCCTCCCCTCGCCTCCTCCTCGTCGTCCTCGTCCTGTCCTGCCTTCTTCCCCCCCTTGCCCATCCCCCCCCTCGCCTTCTCCTCCTCCTCCTCGTCCTCCTCCGCATCCTCCGCCGCCCCGCCATTCTCTGCGTCCATCAGCGCAGCGAACCCCGACGCACCACTCTTGCCCTTACCCTTGCTTTTGACTGACGACACTGGTTCATCATCCACGTCATCGACAGCTGCTGCCACGTCATCAGGCGGAGGCTCATAGTCGTCATCGTCTCCGGCCCTCCCTTTGCGGTTCTTCCGGGCGGCCTTACCGCCCTTCTTGGTTTCCTGCTCTACGGCCGGCGCTTCTGCAGATGCCTCGTCCTCGTTATCGTCCCCGCGTTTGCCGCCTTTCTTCCGCGCCATAAGTGCGGACACGAGGTTTGCTGACTTGAAACGCGGTGACAATGGAGAACAGTTGGACAACGAAAATGAAAAGCTATTTTTGTAGGCACAAACCCTGGATCCTAGGTGTGGTGAAAAGCTGCATGGTCCTAAACCCTTCAAAAAATCATTTTCATGTAATTTGCCCAACCAAGGTCGTTATAGCATCTGGAAGGTACATTCTGGTACTTGTACTACAATACCGAGTCTGTTTGCGAAGAGTAGTGAGGTGCAGCGGAGAGAATCCCAAATATTACTGTTGGGCCTTGAGATTGGCTGGAGTGGATTGTGGCCTCATCAGCACGTCAGCTCTGACGAGGCTCTTTGAAGGAAAACAATGCTTCCACGTGGAATGAAACCAGTTTCCAGGTCATGCCCATCATGCTGACACTCCAGTATCCACGTCATGCGTATCCGTCGAGTTAGCATTTGCTATGTTTAGATCTGACCCCGAAATTGTGAAATTGGGGCGCCAACAGATTTACAAGTCACTTTACAAAGTTTTGACTTTACTGCTGTGTATTTTCAGAAGGAACTCCTCGATAAAAAACTTACGACGGGCAGGTCTGGCAAGGACTTTCCCCTCCAAGCACAATATGGTGTGCCACTCCACAACATCAAAGTGCCAAATTTCCCTCAGAAACGCCCATTCTGAAGCAATTTCATTCCTGTTGAACTTCCACATTCCTGTCCATTCATCCAGCTGCCAAGTAGTGGTGTTCCTTGGTTTCCGCCATGACGAAGCTCACTCTCAAGTCGAAGTACAATTCTGAGACTGAAAAGTTTCAGGCCACTGTAGGCGTTTGGCTGGAAGATTTGAAGCTGAAGCTTTCATTGACGGACAAGACCTTGAGGGATGTTGGAAGTATCAATGAGGATACAGAAGTCGCCGTGGAAAAGCCTGGTCATTTCATTCTGGAGCATCACTTCCACAAGAAGGTAGGCTTGAACACATGCAGCCCATAAAAGATTGTCCTTTCAGCTTTTGATGTCATGGTATGAGCTAAAATCCTTCTTTCCCTACTCCTCGCTCTGCAGTTCACAAGGTTCCAATTCCACGGGCACACGAAAGTGGCCGATAAGTTCGTGCATCTTACCTTCGTCCACCACCACGGCCCTGGTGTGACGACGCTGGAGGCCAACACCGCACTGACCGATGACACTAAGGCGGTTGTGAAACACAATTTTGCCAAGAATGGTCCTTTGGTGCGATTGGAGCACAGGTACAAGGACACCATCTTTAAGCCACTGTACGACTTCGGCGAGGGGAAATGGGCCTTGGGATTTCAAATCAAGCAGAAGATTAAAAGGGATCACCTGGAGGTGTCATACTGGCACCACAGGGAGCGGGCTGAAGTCGAGTACCATAAGCACACTGGTGAAGGTGGTCCTTTCAAGGTAAGCGGCCATACAAGCTCGCCATTGTATGCTGATGTTAGCCTTTTTCTTATTATCATTTATGGGTTTGTCCCCTTCATGCTTGCAGGTCACTGCCGTCTTCCACTGCAAGCATGGTGGCAGGCGCCCAGCCTTGTTGCTGGAGAAGGAGTGGAAGTTCTCTGTTTGATTTCAGCGGCTGAGGCTGGTTGAATTGAATGGCTAGCAGCAACCGAATTTCAGGCATCATTCCTCCCCTCCCCCTCTTTCCCTGACCACATGATTAATAACTTAACAACATGCTTGTGTCACCCGTGTTCTTGAAAGGGTTGTCAGGTGCCTAGTACACACTCATGTTAGCTCTCTGATCATGTTGTCCAATATGTTACATGCGTTTCACCTTACATGAAACAAGGGGCGGCAGGTTGATGGGATGTTGCCATACCACCGAAATTCCCTACATAAATCCACATGCAGTCTTCACTAATTCTTCAACGCCAGTCTTGTCTGACAGGGACTACTCTGGAGTGGGTGGAAACAATGAACTGGCAGTAAGCTCGTCCGACTCCCCCGTTATCTCTTTGTTGATTAGATGGCATTAATGTGGCCTAGCCTGGTATATCAATGCAGAACTCTGTCATTGGCGTGTGTGGTAAAATCATTTCAGAGCCCGAAAGCGCTATTCATGCACTGGGAATGTTAATGTGGAAGTAAGTGTCACATCACCGCATCACCTGTGGTGCATGCTACGTGTGAGTTACTAGGATTAGCGGCCTTCTAAAATCTGAATTATTGTCGCTCATGATTATTGTCGCTCCTGACTGTCGCTCTGTAAAAATGAGCAGGGAAAGCGTCTGAATGAAAATGACGGGAGAACTGGGGAACGAGTAGCGTAGGTGAGATCAAGAGGAGCCTCGCGAGTGCAACCACCACCTGATGCTCCCTCTTGACACTCTTTGCCAGAGCTGCTCTGTTAGCCTCTGCTGCTCCGTAAATCTGGAATGCATTCCTGACTATGCAGATGAGCCTATCGTCCGCATACTGTGAACCTCTAGCTCGCTGCTTTTGTGGCTCTACACCATATTCCTCGTTTTTTCAGGAACGGGTTTCCTGGGCTGGGCTGGTTCGCGACCAGGGATGTTTGAAACCTGGAGTGTCGCAAACCTGGAATGTTTGCACTGGAGATTGTGTACCGAGAAGTACCACTTGGGGAATACCCCGAAGCCTTGTCAACCATCTCAAACCATTCAACTTGTTGGGCCCGAGTGTGCTTGTATGTGCATCACAAGGCTCAAGGTGACGCAAGGGCCATCAGAAACAGCAAGTTCGCATGGGCGATGCGTCATCGCAAAAGTGCGCACCAGTGTCGCCAGCTCACGCCTCGCTCATGCTGGCACAGGCTGTGACTATACGCGTGGGACATCGCCTCGTCCAATCGAAATTGCAGGCTCGGCCTTCCTAGACTACAGGCAGAACAGAATTTGTGGGAGCACCCATTTTTTTAGAAATGTAAACCTCCACCATACAGAACCGCCCTAAAATGCACACCACACCACATCCACGCCTTGCTTAAAGCGACGGTGCACATTTGCCACCCAAAACCCAGAACCCTGGCGAACTGTTACTGCGGATGGAAAGTGTCCGCACGAAATCCTGGTTTTCGCCAGCCAGCACTTTCGCGCTGGCAAGCCTGGTTCAAAAAAAAAACTTCTGAACCCAACACTGCCAAAAGTTGCCCGTCGCTTTAAGGCAACTAACAGCCACTGTCATTCAGGTTTCATAGGTTTTTCGTCTGCTGTTCAGACTGCCGCGAGTTGCCCAATTTTAGAATCGTCCGCCTCTATTCTCCACCGTTCCAAGAAAAGTGGATGGTCTGTGGTTCATGGAGTCTGTTGTTCAGCAAGAGGAGCAGGAGTCGCCGTGTTCGGTAGAAAGAGAAGTCATGTCCATGCCTCGTCGATCTGACTTCACATACACTTCTTGTTACTGGTGCGAGAAGCGGAAGCTGCCGTTCAAACTTCTGCGTGTGTGGTTATCCACATGGATTCCTCTAATGTGCCAACCATCCTACCCTTATCTGGCCTGCCATTCGTTGCAGTGAGGAAAACGTATATTTGCTTTGTCGTTCGCTGGTTTCACGAGGCGTCGCTCACGTGGATGATTTGGCCGTCGTGTTCATTTCCAATCCTGACCGCAAGGTACACGGTTCACTTGGGATCATAATACTTCATCCACTTCATCCACTTCATTGCTCTTTCGTATGTCCCTTCACTCTGTTCGCTTTCATTTGGTATATCACTTCCGAATTCGCTCGTCACCCGCTCTCCTCGTCGCACCTCTCCTGCGCCATCCGCCTGCAGGTTCCCATGTGGTGTCAGAAGGCCGGCATGTGTCGTGCTGATGATAATAGTGGGAGCGAAGGGGGGGGTGGTGTGGAGGAGCAGGGTCTGGTGGTTTGGGACTACCATGTCATCGCTATCCATGTGAAGCACATCAATGGAGCAAGAGGTGGTGACAGAGGGGGATCTGAAGGGAGTAGGTGTCGCAAGTGGTATGTGTGGGACCTTGACACAGTATTGGCCTTTCCAAGTTTAGCAACGGAGTATGTGCGGCGGGCGCTGTGGGCCGGGAGAAGTTCCCTCCTTCCTCTACAAGATACTTATCAAAGGTTAGCTGTGTGCTTGACTTGTGCCATCCTCGTTCCTACTACTCACACCTGTTGCCTCAATGCTCAGCCTTGGGTACCTGATCTTGTCTTTGTTTTCACCTTGACTGGAGATGTGTGCAGGTTTTACAGGGTGGTTTCTGCTTCCAACTATTTCAGTTTCTTCGCGTCTGATCGGTCTCACATGCGTGACACTATCACAAACATGTGGCTAGCCAGCCCTCCGAAGTACCCATGCATTCGTTCGCAAGGTCAGCAGTATAGTTCAGTCTCACTGAGTATTTCCCCTTTCAAGCAAAAATGCCAGCTGACTAGCGTAATTGTTTCTTTGCAGATGGTGAGTCAAACAGGCTGGAGTCATACATCAGAATGTCCCCTGCTGACACTGTGGACATTCAGGTGGTATGTAAAGATTATTCTGAATGTAGAGGTACTGGTAGTTCAGATAGTGTTAACTGGGTTGCTTGGAAGTCGTTGCTTTGTGCACACAAATTTGGAGTGGTACTGGATGAATTATCATTGTGCCTGCTCCTTGGAGCAAGTGCCTGCTAGCTGACACTTCAATACCTTGTGAAGACTTCATTTGGTACGGCTGAATACCAACAACCCAGAGAGGGACGAACAACTACAGTAATCATTCATGTAAGAACACCTCTACACATACTAATGTACTACGTATTGGGTAAATTGGAAACAAGGCGCAAACAAAATCATCCTGCTGGAATGTACATCAACGGGCGAAGTCGTTGCACATCCCAAAGGTCATAAACGGCAAAACTAAGTAGCAGGTGCAGCCTTAGCCTTAGCTGCCTTCTTCTGAGCCTCAATCGCCTGAAAACACAATGGGAACAAAACCTTCAGAATTCCATCCACGTAGCCACGAGTCCATCAAATCACGAAGCTGCAGCAGGCATACCTGAGAGTACAGGAACGTTCCGAGAATGGCAATTGCCGCTCCAACGCCATTTATCAATCGGACTGGAGTTCTGAAGATGATGATGGACGCTACAATGACTGACACACGCTTCATCGTGTTTCCAATGCTGAATGTCAACGGAGTAATCTGATCCAACGACATGTAGGACACTTGATTGTACAAGTGATAGAAAACGCTCTGAGCCGCAATCCACCTGTAATCCAAAATACGTGAGGTTGAGTTCACTTCGTTTACACCTTTCATTTCTGTTTGAATTAATGTATAATGCAAAGCTCAGCACTTACCAACCAATTCTTGGCCCAACCTCCGCGATAGAAGTCTCCCAACCGGCAGTCCACATCGGAAAGCCCTCTTGCCAGATGGCGAAGGGAATGAGGATGATGAGGGACATGATTGACAGGCAGGCGTAGTAGTTGAGACCTCCGACCTTCTTGCCAGAGCTCATTCCCTTCTTCGAGAAAATGTTCCGGAAAACAAATGCCAGATTTGATATCATGGCACCCATAAAGCCTGCTCACACAAAACAAGGACCATTTCAGACTTGGCCTGCAACAGACTGCTCCTGGTAATAAAGAGATCAAACCCACCTCCCATGTTGAAGTTCAGCTCGGTAAGAGCTGCGAGCCCGCAACCAAAAATGATGGGGAGCAATGACAAGTAGACAGGAAGCGCGAATTGCTCGCCCATCAGGCTCTGGACGACAACGCTGAAGGCAGGCTCGGAGCTCTTAATAATATGAGTGAAGGAAACAGCGACCTTTGACATGCTCACGGTTGCAGCTACGTGACCAATTGTATGGGCAACGGCGACCTGAAAAGGCGGCAATTATGTGAGATGAATCAGACCACAAGAGGATGAGCGTGTGCTTCAAACGACGGCGATCAGCAAACGGCATGAAAGAAAAGGGGACCGAAAACGGGAGACGAATGGTAGGATGAAATACTAACAGGGAACAATGTCTTCCAGAAGTCCAGATCTGTGTCGGGGAATTCCACCAGACGCGTCGCCCAGGACAGCAACATGATCGTGACTCCAGCAGCAAGAGCGAGAGTAGAGCACAGCCATGGATAGGGGAAGGCGTTGAGCACTTTCTTGTTGTAGATGTTGAAAACAACGTTCAGCGTCCACCACAGTGCAAAATATCCACCAATCTTAACCTTGAACGCCGAGTCCTCGGCCTCAGTAGTCGAAACTGCCTTGGGCTCCGGAGAGGAACCTGCGCCAGCACCTGCCTGGGCTTGTGCGACAATTTTCAGCCGAGAGGCAGACTCGGTCTTGACGACCTCGGGCCTTGAGAAAGCTGTGAAAGACACACCAAAAGATTTAGACGATGGAAGAACCCTGGCACGCTTGACCGACAGAGAGCTAGCCAAATTCACTCGTCGAATCGCGGAGTGGGACTGAGCGCGAACACCGAGTGGAATGGCGCCACACTCGGCCATCTGGGCAACAATCACAGCTTGTGCCATGGTGAAGGAAGGGATACAGAGAAGAGAGAAATTAGGGGAATGAGGCTAGAAGGAGGGCGAAACAAATATGTTTACTTCCTCGACTGGATCAGGCTGACGCATTGCCGCGCCAAAAGAGCACATGTGTGAGCCGGAACCGCCACGTAGCCGGAACTCATGGAAATCGAAAGAGGCATGACGATCTGACCTGGCCAGGTTCCCACGGTCCGATCAGCCACATTGAAAGATCTTCATCCAGTCACTTGCACATCGACCAGTACCGTGCGGACAAACGCCTCATTGTCAGCAGCAGTTCGTGCGGGCACTTTGAAAAGATCAGTCAACCAGTTGCGGGAAGCGAATCCGCCCAACGGGCGAAGTAGTTTTTCGCACAGCTGGGTGTGGTGGGGGAACATTGTTGTAGGATATGCGGTATATTAGTAAGTTGTTACGAGTGCAATTGAGTGAGCCAGCGAGAATTGCACTATAGAAGCAAAACAATACAATGAGCGAAGGCATGCACGAATAATATATAGCGAACTAGAGTGGTAACGGTAACGCGAGAAATTGGGGTGCGCAACGGGCCTAGCGCCGAGGTTGGGATATGTCGAGGCGGGGGTCCGGAGCGCAGGTTACCAACCGATCCGTGAGGTTGGGTCGCATCGTGAACAGTGGCGGGAGTTGTAGTCGAGGCGAGTGTCGCGAGTGGGTAATGTTTCACTGTTTGGGTGCTGATGGCGGGAATGGTCTTGTACGCGGTAAGCAGGGGCGCAAAGTAAGGAAAATGGATTTTCCTTACACTACCCCCCCCCCCCCCCCCCCCCCCCAAAGGAGGCCCTCATTACGAGAGTGCGTGTACATCTCAAAAATTTCGACTGCACAGATACTCAGTGAGGACTGGGTGATTCTCAATTCTATCCAGGGGGGCCCTATTGTCTTCGGTGGGCGTGCGGTCTTTCCAACGGATCAGGAATTCGATCCTGCGGGCTCCCCGTGGGTCACGTGTCAGAACATTATAGTGCTTACATTTGTGTAGGCTATAGTGGGGTAGTGTGTACATTTTTTCCTTGGGCCCACCACAGCGCTACCTCGCTAGCCGCCCTCTGCAGCCCTCGTGCTGCCCCTACTGCCCGTCGCGACCCATCGACCCCTAGGCACCGGCCCGTAGCCCGTCGCCCGTAGGCCCGTCGCCCGTAGGCCCGTCGCCCTAGGCCCGTCACCCCGGCCCGTCGCCCCGGCCCGTCGACACCCGGCCCGTCGCCCTAGGCCCGTCGCCCCTAGGCCCGTCGCCCTAGGCCCGTCGCCCCTGCAGCCAGCGCGTCGCCCGCTAGCGACCCGCCAGCCGCCCCTGCCGCCCGCGCGCCGCCCACCAGCGGCCCGCCAGCTGCCTCTGCCGCCCGCGTGCCACTCGCTATAGACCCGCCAGCCGCCCCCCCGCCGCCCGCGCGCCGCTTGCTATCGGCCCGCCAGCCGCCCCTGCAGGCCGCGCGCCGCTCGCTATCGGCCCGCCCGCGCGCCGCCTGCTAACGGCCCGCCAGCCGCCCATGCCGCCCGCGCGCCGCCTGCTATCGGCCAGCCCGCCACCCGCGCCACCCGCACGCCGCCTGCTAACGGCCCGCCAGCCGCCTCTGCCGCCCGCGCGCCACTCGCTATCGGCTCGCCCGTTGCCCCTTCCACCCGCGCACCGCCCGCTCGCGGCCCGCCAGCCGCCTCTGCCGCCTACGCACCGCCCTCTATCGGCCCGCCAGCCGCCCCTGCTGCTCGCGCGCTGCCTGCTAGTGGCCCGCCAGCCGCCTCTGCCGCCCGTAAGCCGCCCGCTCTCGGCCCGCCAGCTGCCCCTGCCACTCTCGTGCCGCCCGCTTAAGGCCTGCTTGCCGCCCCCTGCAGCCCGCGCGTCGCATCTTGCTTCCGGTGCGCCGCCCCTTGCAGCCCGCTCGCTCCCCCACTCTGCGCTGACCTGCGTGCTATGCCGCTATGGCTTCTCTTCGCGTTCTGGCGTTCGATCATGAGGGCCGCCCGATCCAGTTTGACACGTGGCTTGACGACCTACAGCTGTACCTCCTGAGCGACTCTAGGGACAGCGTTTCGTTGTTTGACCACACGTCTGGTGTCGCTCCCGCCCCTCCTGCCACAGCTGACAGCGCGACTCGCTCACAGTGGCTTACTCGCTCACAGTGGCTTATTCGCGACACTGCTGCCCGCTTAGCCATTCGCAACCACCTGCCGTTAGCCGAATGCGCTCACTTCAGACAGCACAGGACTGCACAGGCACTGTACGACGCTGTTGTCGCTCGCTACTCCTCGCCTTCCACTTCTGCTCTAGGCCACCTGCTACTGCCCTACCTATTCCCCGAGTTGTCCGCCTTTGCCATAGTCGAGGACCTGGTTTCCCACCTTCGCGCTAGCGACGCTCGCTACCGAGCTGCCGCCCCTGCTTAGTTCCTTGACAGGAACCAGCCCCCGATGTTCATCACTCTCTACTTTATAGTCACTCGCCTCCCTGACTCTCTTCGCTCTGCCTGGGACCACTTTCTCTCCCTTGACCCCACAGTCCTCACTGTTGACCTACTCGAGCAGCACCTCCTTGCAGCTGAGACTAGTGTAGTCGCTGTAGGTGCTGCTCGTGGCACTCCGCGCACGCCCTTCTTTGAGGGGTGCTCCCCCTCCCCCCTTGGCCCCTCCTACGCCTCTGCTACTGCTGTTGACGTCCTTGGTGCTGAGAATGTCGGGGCTGCTTCTGCTAGTGCAAAGCGCCGCAGCAGCAAGGGCAAGGGTGGCAGGGGTGGTGGAGGGGGCAGCGGGAGTGGTGGTGAGGGCAGCAGTGGAGGTAATGGAAGCAATGGAGGTGGTGGCAACGGTGGGAGTG